GTGTTGGGTCTTGGGGCCGAGGTGCTGGAGGCAGCGGCGCGGGCAGACGGCACCGCACAAAGGACGAGGGGACTGGGGGCACAGAGCGTCCGCTTACCTCCTCTCGCCTTCCTCCGCTCGGTTCTTCCCGATGGCGCCAAGAACGCAGCCGTGCTCGCCGGCTCCCCCAGCCGCCCGCCACCAACCCAGCGCTAGCACCCGGCGGACGCGCGCCCTCCCGCGCTGCCCCGCCGAGCCCCGGCCGGCGCCAGGCGTCCTCTCACCTCAGCCGGCGAGGGGCGCGCTCCGGGGCCCGCGCGCGGCACGCCGGGAAGTGTGGTTCGCGGGCGCTGCTCCCCGAGCTCAGTCCGCGCCCTGGCGCCGCGCCTCCCTGGTGGGCGGCCGAGTGTCCGCTGAGGGGGCGCCGGGGTTGCTCTGCCGGGTGAAGACAGACCGCGCGTAGCGGACGTCCTTAAAGCAGATTTTTAAATAGGACGCCTGAAGTTATTCATACTTCCCTTCCATGGAGGTACAATTTTATTCCTGTATTTGTCCGCGGAGTCCCCTCCTTGCATTCTTTATGTTCTTACCGTTTATGTCTTCAAAAAAAGAGGGGAGGGAGAAAGGCTTGCGTGCATTCCTCTGTCACGTTCACCACATGCCCCACAAAGGGTGTACAGAACCTGAGGAAGCTGCTGATTGAGCTAAGCACTCAGTGCTAAAAGTCATTTGCAAGTAAAAATGGTGTTGAAATAAATCAATTTTTCTATAATATCTGTAAAGTGGAATGTGGGAGGGTGGGGATCAAGAGAGGGCAAAAACATGTCAAAACTCCAAAATTACTATTTGAATTTGAAATTTCATTTCTAAGGGGAAAATCACTTTTTTTACATTGGAATAAATCTTAATATTTCAAAATATTCCTCTTTGATGCACATGTCTTTGGAAAAATAGAGCAAGACCAGTTTTAAGAAGTGTGCACTGAAGAAAAGTCACAAAATTTGTATGGAGCGTGTAATTGCTGTGGTCAGAAACTGATGCCCTCCACTGAGGAGACAGCCTGAGGGTCTCTCTGACCTTCCCCTAAGTCCTCTGTCTCTCTCAATGCATAGGATGAAGTAGTTCTTTGAAGTTCCCTTATCCACCTGGAAACCAGACCAGCCAAAGGGGAGCACGGTCGCCTTCCCTGAGTTGTCATTAATTTAATTCATACTGCAGGAAGACTAACGTCTGTCAATGCGCCTGGACAAACTTGTGTCTAAACCATTGTCTGGGGCTGGACACGTTGGCTCACACCTGTAATCCTTGCACCCTGGTAGGCCAGTTTGCTTGAGCTCAGGAGTTCAAGATCAACCTCAGCAAGAGAGAGACCCCATCTCTAATGAAAATAGAAAAACTGGCCAGGCATTGTGGCAGGCACCTATAGTTCCAGGTACTTGGGAAGCTGAGGCAGGAAATCTTCAGAACCCAGGAGGTAGAACCCAGCAACCCTTTGAGGTTGCTGTGAGCTATGATGCCAGGGGCATCAGATCCTGGGGCAACAGAGTGAGATTCTGTCAAAAAAAAAATGTGTGTTTTATATATATATAGTATTTTACAAAACAGGATATACCTCAACCAAAATAAACGAATACACATTTCCTAAATCTGACAGTATCTTTTTACTTTTACTTACTCCTCCTCAGCTAAATTTTGTAAGGATGTTAAAGATGCTTTCTCTTCCCTAACATCCCAAAAATTATAACTAGAAAGGATCTGATAATGTCTGTTTGCTCAAGGCCTGATTGTACCTTACTCACAATAAATTACAATATTTTAACTTCAACTGACATTTTGCATTTTTATGTCTATATCTCTAGTCCTGGAATAAAAGGCGTTATAACCTCCAAAAGAATTTCAGATGCCAACTGTAGAGGGATTTGGAAAGATTAACGAAGAGGGCAATTTTAATCTTGCTTTGCTACAGAAGCAAACCTTCCAGCCAGCGACATGTCCTTAAAGATAGGACTGCTGGGAATCTTTGCCTATGAAATGTCCTTAAAGAGCCTGAACACTACCAACAAGACCACTCCCTCCCTGTCCAGGTCAAGGTTACTGGCTTGCAATTATTCATATATTTCATCTCCCCTGGTAACTCCTGTCTTCTCCACAGCCAACCTTTACTCTAGTGCCTCAACTTCCCTTAATGATCACGTCCCACCTTCTGCTCCAACATACTGGGTGGCTACATTTTCTGACCTTTAGCCAGTGGCACATTTTGTGCTATTTTAGTAAATTAATGACGGTGTTTCCATCCACTAGCCATGGGATGAATCTGACATTGGTATCTCTAAATCTTTGCTGACTTTTTTCAGCATCTTACAAAACAGGATATACCTCAACTATAATAAAAGAAATATTTGAAATTTTATAATTTTTAATTTCTACTTTTTCTCTGGGTTTTTATAATTGCTGCTCCTTATACCTCTTTGCCTGGCTAACTCTTAGACACCATTTTAATCAGAAAACCTTTCCTGGTTACAGCCCCCCCCCAATTCTGGATTAATGCCTCCTATAGATGTTCACACTGCAATCTATGTTTTACCCCAAGGTAGCAGTTGGTGAACATTTCAATTAGTTATATGTTCTTTCATTCATCTGTAACCTCCTTACACAGAAAATAAGAACATAGTATACTTAATATATAGGTGCTTAATAAATATCTGGGCTATCAATGAATGCATATCAACTGTATACAATAAAGAAGAAGGTTTAGCAAATATTTTCCATCAAGGATAGTAAATATTTTAGGGCTTTAGGCCATACAGCTCTGTTGGAACTATTCAACTTTGCTTCCCAGAAGACAATAGCCAGTTCTCACTGGTGCCCTTAGTATAACTAAATAGGACAGAATTTGAGTTAAATTTTTTTTTAGAGACAGAGTCTCACTTTGTCACCCTCAGTAGAGTGCTGTGGCTTTACAGCTCACAGCAACCTCTAGCTCTTGAGCTTAGGCGATTCTCTTGCCTCAGCCTCCTGAGTAGCTGGGACTACCGATGCTCACTACAATGCCTGGCTATTTTTTGTTGCAGTTTGGCTGGGGCCAGGTATGAACCTGCTACCCTAGGTATATGGGGCCAACGCCCTACTCACTGAGCCACAGGTGCTGCCCAGTTAAAAAAATTTTTTTTGAAACATAATTTTACTTTGTTGCCCATGCTAAAGTGCCATGGCCTCAGCCTAGCTCACAGCAACCTCAAACTCCTGGGTTCCGATGATCCTCCTGTTTCAGCTCCCTACTAGATGGCCCTACATGCATGTACCACCATACCTGGCTAGTTTTTCTGTTCTATTTTGTTTTTTTTCTTTTGTTTATTTGTTTGTTTTCAGTAGAGATGGGGGTTCCACTCTTGCTCGGGCTGGTCTCAACCTCCTGACCTCAAGCAGTCCATCCATCTCTGCCTTCCAGAGTGCTGGGATTATAGGCATGAGTCATAGTGCCTGCCTGGCCTGAGTTAAAAATTTGAATGGACAGAGTGAGGGTGCAGCTTTGAACTAAAGGAGATGACTTGAAGATATATTTACAAGCAGGCACACAGCTATTTTTCCACCAACTATTTTTGGTAGTTTGGGGGTAGGCCTGTGGGTGGAGCTAAAACAGAAAGCATCTTTGTGTGGCTACTGCTAGTTCTGTTGTGCAGACTAAATTCTTTCTTTGAAAATTACTAGTGTTTTGAAAATCATTACTTTATTTTTTATTTTTTTGGGACAGAGTCTCACTCTGTTGCTCCAGGCTAGACTGCAATGGCATCATAGTTACAGCAACCTCAAACTCTTGAGCTCAAGTGATCCTCCTGCCTCAGACTCCTGAGTAGTTGGGACTGCAGCCACCCACCACAAGGCCTGGCTAGTTTTTCTATTTTTAGTAGAGACAGGGTCTCATTCTTGCTCAGGCTGGTCTCAAACTCCTGAGCTCAGGCAATCCATTTGCCTCAGCCTCCCAGAGTGCTAGCGTTTTGAAAATCATTATTTTATTTATTTATTTTTTTGAGACAGAGTCTCACTCTGTTGCTCCAGACTAGACTGCTACAGGTATGAGCCACTGTGTCTGGCCTAGTGTTGTTAAATTTTAAAAACTTGCTATTATTCTGAGGTTTTTTTCATCCTTAGCATTTCACTTTTGTTACTCCATCTTGCCCAGGTCAAATCCTTTTCTGTTTCCCACAAGGCTGCCTGGATATTGCTGTGTTCTCAGGGTGTATATTTGGGAAACTGTGGAATTCTCTGCAGAGCAATATGGGAAATGACAAGATGAGAATAATTTTTGTCTCTATCCCTGCTACATTGAAGAATTGTGAATTTGGTTGCCAGAAAAACACATTTAGAGAAATTTTTTTCAGTAATTGTTTTTGAAGTATGTACAATATACTTCTGAGCAGAATTGTATCCATATGTATGGTAGGACTTGGCACAGTGAAGCGAACGAAATTGTGTTTCAATTCTGATATGTATTTTTTTTTTTGAGACAATGTCTCACTCTGTTGCCCTGGGTAGAATGCCCTGGCCTCTTGCCTCAGCAAGCAGCTAGGACTACGTGGACCCTCCACAACACCCAGCAGTTTTTTAGAGACAGGGGTCTCAATTTTGCTCAGGCTGGTCTTGAACTTGTGAGCTCAATCAATCCACTCGCCTCCGCCTCCTAGAGTGCTGGAATTACAGGTGTGAGCCGCCCGACGTGATATGTATTCTAAATGTAGTATCTTTATGAAAAAATACTTCTTTCCTTCAGCTGTAGCTCTATATTACATTAACTTTCTGATATAATCTTCACATTTTCATAATGGAATCTCTAAAAAGTTTGGGTTTTGAATTATTTTTAGAAATTAAAATAAATGCAACCCAGTCGACACTGCTAGCTGCTTAAACATGTTCCTGCCTTCTTCCTTAGGAAGAAAACTCCAGTATTTTTTGGAGGGATGACTATGAGCCCCACTGAACATTTTTTCAGCTTTTCTTTCAGTTAGACTAAGTTCTAGCCATGAGATAGAAGTGCAAGTGTGACATGGGACTTTGGGGATGGCAGCTGAAAGGGAATTAACCCAGTTGGGGAATATCTCTTTTATCTTTCTTCTTTCTTCCTGGAAGTGATGGCTTGAGTTTTGTATCTACCTTTGACTATAAAGTGATTGGACTTTGGAAGTCATGTATAAGATGGTAGAAGATGACCCTTGAACCATCATTTCAACAC